TCAGACACACATGACGACGTAAAGTACTAAAAATTTCTTTTTTTTCAGCATATTAGTTTTCCTGTAAAAATAAGCATAATGACAAAAGAAAAATAGGAAAAATTCTATGAGGATAGTGGTGGTTGTTATTTAGAACAGCACTATATAAATATAGTGATTTCGACTCAGTTGAATTTTTTGTTTCTACTTTAGTAATAAACAAAGATATGGGTAATGAAATATTTCACAAATGGATGACAAAAAATAGAAGGGAATCTTCTTTTTTTCGTGGGATTGCTGGTGATAGAACTACAAAAACAGGTATGAAATTTTATTTTTATGTTGACCGAACTAAAAAGGCCTTGCTACTACTGAATTTTGAGATACCGATGCTTGAAAATATACCGAGATGAAAAATTTTTTAAATAATTTAATAGAAACACATCTAATATGCTGTTTAACTTATAGAATACCTCGTGTCAAGGCTTTGCTAGTGAGTTGTGATACTTCTCGACAATTTTTAGTTGCCACCAGTCGTTTGAAGAGGATGCTCTTCGAAAAATGTTTTTTTCCTTACTGAACGGCTCGATAGATCTTGAGATACTGCGTTTTTTACGTATAGACGTATTGCAAGAGTTTTTCGCTCTTTTATTTTCACACATCTTGGCTAAACATAACGTACACATATGTGAAATAACAAAAAGAACATAATTCGACTAATGGAAACGATAACTAATGAAGAATTGTTAAGGGCAGAGGATCTTCCAACACTAACTACACTAGATGAACGGGGTGGGAGGAAAATTGCGATGTTTGTGTTGACATGGGATGGAGTCCCGTCAAGAGAAAAGCAGGCTTGTGCGACAATTTGAAATCTGTCGGGTTGATTAGGGGTGGTACTTTCTGGTTTCTTTCCCAAAGAAAGACAAGTAAAAACTGACTTTCATTTCTTTTGGAAAAGGAAAGTTTTTACTTTCTTACTGTTCTTTACCAAAAGAAGGAAAGTATGATATAACTTTCTTTTGTGTTTTTCTTTATGCAGAAAGCACTTCAAAGCAACCAGGCTCATGTTCATGATCAGCGTCGAAAACTGAATCGAGGAGTGATGCGTTTCGCGAAAACTTTCCGAAAGTATTTTTTTCCGGCAAAACACATGACTCGGTTCAGTTTTCCATGCTGATCATGAACATGAGCCTGGTTTTGCTTTGAAGTGCTTTCTGCATAAAGAAAAACACAAAAGAAAATTATATCATACTTTCCTTTTCTTTCCTTCTTTTGGGAAGAACAGTAAGAAAGTAAAAACTTTCCTTTTCCAAAAGAAACGAAAGTCAGTTTTTACTTGTTTTTCTTTGGGAAAGAAACCAGAAAGTGCCACCACTAGGGTTGATGATTAACATACCCGATGATAAACCAAGCGTCGAATGAGGCCCTCAAAAACTGGCGTCGACATTTGAGTATGGACAAGTGAAATACGTCGAATTATGTTGTTTTGTTAATTCATCGAAATGGGCAACTGGTCAAACATGACTCTGTCGTACACGTGTTAAATGATCATTTTCATCTGCCGGTTAAAGGAAACATCGAGGGATTAGATAGGATTCGTGATTTTTTTGAGGATTTCGAGCCATAAAATTTGCTTGGTGCAGATAAGATGTGAACACGTGTGTATAACACACAAGAAAAGAAACAGTCTCGTTGATGAGCGATAACTTGTGTGGTCATCAAACGATTTTTTTACATGAAAAGTAAAAAAATCGGTGCCACATTAGTTTTGCTTATCCAGACAATGAATTGGCCATATCTCAACAATGATGGTCGGTGGGCCTGAACTATTTTGAGGTTTTTGCAAGTCTCATCGAGGTCTACTTGTGGCCAAAAGTGAGGAGACAGTTGGAATCTTCCTTTGTGAAAGTCCAAAAATAGTGCTCAAAAATTCTACTCTCAGCTAAGATCTCATTATTTGTGAGTTTCTATTTAGGTTCATTTAATCAAACAAAATTCGAACAACTGCCTAATGAAATAATAGTTGAAACATTCGACTATTTAGAAGGTACAGATTTGTTATTTGCATTTCATAATATTAATTATCGTATCAATAAACTTTTACAATCATACTATCGTTATCGTTTCAATTTTCAACATATAAAAAAATCAAAGTTTGATCATATTTTACAACAACAAAAACAACAACAAATAAAATCAGAACAAATACAATCATTAACTTTAGTTGAAGGTGACGATACTTGTGGACAACTTACATTACTTTTATCGTTATCATTAATTAAATATTACTATGAACATCTTCAATCATTATCGTTATATTATATGAATAATGATCAAATAGCATTTATATTATCAAATTTATATTTATTTCAAAAATTAACTCATCTCAACGTTCATACACCACCAGGTTCAGTAAATGGTACTGAAGAATGGCTAGTTGAACCTCACATTATATCAAGTAATATTACTTATAAATATAATCAATTGAAATTACAAATCTTAACAACATCGTTTTCGACATCATCAACGATTGAATATTTAACGATCGATCATTACGATATTCATCAATTAGAACAGTTATTTTCTAAATTACCAAAATTAAAATATTTTTCTTGTCGTTATTTACATTTAACAGAGTCAAATTCACAAATCCAATTTAATCAACAATTTAGAAATATTCTTCATTTAAAAATACAATTAAAACCTAATATTAAATTTGATCATATTCAATTAGTATTAAAAAATTTACCACAGTTAAAATGTTTAGAATTAATTGCATATGAAAATGAAAGAGAACAATTTATTGATGCTTGTCAATGGGAAATATTAATAAACACATATTTAAAACAATTAAAAAAATTTAAATTTCTATTTTTTATTTATCGAACACGAAAATTAAATCATGAAATATTAAAACCATTTACAAATGATTTTTGGTTATATGAAAAAAAATGGTTTGTTGTCTGTGATTATCATATATATAATAAATATACATTTCTTTATACTACACCATATATAAATACTCAATTTGATTTAATACCATCCGAAACATTTGAAACAAATTCTACACTACCATTATCGTGTTTATCGAATATTTATATTAATGTTAACAAATTAAAAGTCAGTTTCCATACACCAATACCATCGAATCGTTATTATTCTAATGTAAAATCATTAACATTAGGCCATATAGAAAACAACCAAACAACTTATGATGAATTAAACAACTTTGTTCAGTTATCAATAATAAATCATGCACAAATTGAATATGACATAAGTGTAGATTTATTTTCAAATATAATTATAAATGGACACAATTTATGTTCGCTAAAAATATCTTACCATCGTTTATCTCAATTGACAAATAATTTTACAAATAAAACATTATGCTCACATTTAAACGAAAAAATAAAGAAACTGAATCTCACACGAACACATTATACACTGTCAATAAATCATATTAAAAATTTATGCTTTCTATTTTCTAACTTAGAACAACTAATATTTCGTATTAAATTCAAACATGATCTGCCATTTATATTGGAAGAATTAAAACATTTATTTTATATACGAATTCAATGTTATGGGATAATAGAGCAAGATATCGACGATATTCGACAATGGTTATCAGAAACAAACAAGAACTTTTTTTGTACGACAACGGATTACATTAATATAAATATTTGGATAAATTAGCTGGTTTTTCTCCTTCATTGTAAAGGATAAAACATATTTTTAACACGGACACTAGCATGTCCTACAGTTAACAGCCTGCACTTAAATTCATGCTGTTTTAGGCTCTGAGTAGTGCTCGTATTATCTAGTTACAGATACTCACAAACTAAACATATATAGACATTTAAAAACAATTATGATTAACATGTTAAGAATTTTAATAAAAATTACAAGTACAAAAGACAAAGCACCTATTCCACTCGATTCGGGAATTGTCTATAAAACTATCTGCCCCGTACGTATGTCATGAGTTTACATTGGGAATACATACCGACATTTTTGTAAAACGACAGAAGAACATTAAAGTGATCAAACAAAACTAACCGAAATCTCTGAGCCTTCACTAGTAACACCATCTATTAAAATAACTCAACATAATACCTGTTTACTAAGTGGAAAAGTGTCCAAAATGCAGGCTCATCTAAAAAGGCATCTTGTGAGGTCGTAATATGATGGCTCAAAAGGCATTGATGGACCGTTAGCGAGAAAAGAATAGTTTCAAACTAAAATGAAATCTAGAAAAACTTGATATTATCAAAAGATTGAATTTCCGCATAAAGAAGACTGATACGATTCTTCGAAAAACCGATAAGTCCAAAGTCTTTCATTTGGGTAAATCATCTGATTATAAAGACAAAGTGGAAAAATATATGATAAAGACTAATGCACACGAGGTACAAGAGTTAGTTATCAAAACTAACCACTTTCTTCGCCGTTTGTGGAAAGAAAAGATTACAATCCGAAAGTATGTGGAACAAATGACGATCGATCCGGCTGCAGCTAAACTGGCACATTTGCCGAAGCTCATAAACCGAACACCCCTCTGAGATCCATAGTTACCGGAATAAATCTACGCTTATGAAAATCTCAAACCTTCTAGACCAACATCTTCGCCCACTGTTTGATACAATGGCTAAAGACTCGTCGATTACGGGTGGTATTTATTTAGTGAACGACTAAGGAAACGGACGCCAATATAAACTGACAAACGATATGATATTCGTTACAGTCGATGTGACAGATTTATGTACAATGGTCACTCAAAAGAGCGGGTTAGAAACAATTAGAAAGATGCTACAGATTTTCAGAGAAGAACAGATTGCAGGCATTCCGACTTAAACGATCTTGGAAATGGCATGATTTGCACTTGAGAACAATTATTTTTTCTATGATGGAGTTTATTATCGACAGAGAGATGGGTTCCCCATTCCCACTCACCTTTGCCAATGTGTACATATATTTCTTTGAAAGGCTGATTCAAAAAGCTATAGTCGGCATTAAAAAAGGACTATATTGCCGATATATTGATGATATTATTAGAGCATGTCGTGCCACTGGAACTCAGATTCAGGCTTGGCTAGTACACTAGAAGCGAATGGATAAGGATAATATCAAATAACAGGTAACATTGGTAAAGAAGTAGATTTCTTAGACGTAAAACTCAATAATAACAACTGGCATTTAGTGACCAGTGTTTTCCACAAACCTTCACATGAGCCTTATTATATGTCTTTTCCAGTATTCACGCATATCATAATGTACCATTTGGAGCTCTTATCCGAGCCATTTGGTATAGTTCCATTTATATGCTGTATACGAAAAAACGTGCATATAACCAAATGACACTATTTTTAAATGAATATCACGATGGTTTTGTCCAAAAACAGTTCAATCGAGTACTCGAAAAATTCAATATCCGCTACTTGACTGAGGCCAACTATCGGAGTATGTATTAAAAAACTTTTTTGAGATAAATATCAATGTCAAGACTGCTGTGATGAAGTTGATCGAGTTTTACACGGACAACCACCTGACAACAGTCAGCTGAGTGAGCTCCATATTTTAGAAGCCGTTTTACAAGAGACATTACGCTTATATCCGCCAGCACCGGTTATGGTGCGTGAATGTATTCGTGAGCACTCAATCGGAACCGATGAACAACAAATTCATCGTTCTGTTATCTACTGTTTTCAGTTGCAATGGAAATTGTATCGGACAAAATTTTGCCATGTTAGAAGCAAAAGTTATGTTGACCCTTCTTATCCAACATTTACATTTTGAAAAGTCCCCGGGCAAAAAGTGGTACCGATTCAAAAAACAAATATATGGATTACAAGCGAAAGTTAAGCGACGGGTCTACGAATAATCTGTTGCTTGGCAGATGCCGTTGAACAAAAATAAATGCAAAAGTATGATTTTTAACCCTAACCCCATCTTCTTATTAGTAAACCAGTACTGGAAGAAGTTACTGAGCAAAAGCATCTGGGAGTGATTTTAACACAAAAATTTAACTGGAAAGCTCATGAAAGATATGTACTGAGTACGTGTAATAAAATTTTAATTCTAATGAAGAAGTTTAAAAGAATATTTAGCACATCTACACTAAACCAAGTGTACAAATCTTTTGTTTTCCCCTTAGTAACCTGTGAAGCCCCCCTTGGAAGATTTTTTCGCCTTCTCCAGGTTGTAGCCCGTAAAATTCTGATCAAAAGGAAGGTCAGCAACACAAAGGAAAAAGCAAACTTTTTTTCTTTTTTGTTTCATACATATCGTCCATACATTTCTCCAGTCGCATGTGATATATGCCGTAATTATCAATTATTATTATATTTTAATAACTGTTTACAAGGTTTCTTTTGTACGAGACTTTGTTGTAAATTTGGAGTATTTCGTTAGCCTGCTATGGGAGCGATGTCTTCAAGCGGTGTTTCTGTAAAGTACATCCGCCACAGACGCAAACTTATCCATACCTTCAGTATAAGTAAAGTGGACGAACATGGTCTTTTCATAATCGATCTGTGCAATATCCAGCAGGCATGCACCGTGACGAGAAGTCTCGAGTCTAGAAAAGTTTCGATACCCGAAACTTTAGTCTCGAAAGTCTCAAGCCTTATTACTTGTATAAGGTCCTCTCATGTGAGAAAGTCGAGGAACCTGTTTTGTGTTGCATAAGTTTTTCTGATTTTAATAAGATGGGCGTAGAAAGACTTTCCTTCAGTCGCTGTGCGTGTATTTTACACATAGTCATGAACTGGACTAAATCTGAATGCGCTAAAGATAACTCCGTACGGTTCAAAAAGAATAGAAGGCATCTGCCGCTCCTAATTCCAACATATGTCGGCTGTCTTCCAGAGCAAGCAAGGACCGAAGCAGATCAACTTTGTTTTGTTTCTGTTACTTATTTATTTTCTCTTTTTTTCTTACAACAACGTTACATAGCTTCACAACAACATAAAAAGATAGTCTCGAAAAAGTCTCGGAAAGTTTCGATACCACCACAAAGTGTGCATTTAGGCGGATATTTGGGGAAATTTCGAAAGCGAGGTTTTCGGTGATTTGAATAGTGATTTATATACAGTACAATGTGTTCTATCTATCGATAAACGAAGTTTTTTGCATAGCTGTTTTTATTCGGTAAAAATGTCATCGGCAAAAATTTATTTGAATACTACCGTTACAAAACGAACTTCAATTTTTAAAACTGTAGGAAGTGTTTATAAATTAACAGATGATATAATAAGAATCTCGACAGCGCCGGCTATCGATTGTTAAAAAAATTTTTTGATTTTGAACCTTTGCTTCACGAAAAGTTAGCCGAGACATTTTCGCAGGTAAGTTTTCCTGGAGGTGAGTTCAGCAACATCGACCCCCTCCCTCACATCCAGTCTCAAAATATTCTGAAACTTTTAGGGAAGGTTCAACCCCATGTGGCACGTATATGGTGTTAGCATAAATTAGCATAAATGCTTGGACGAGGAGTAGTGAGTTGTCCAAAAGCACTGGTTTTTCAGAGGTTTTTCTTTGATTATTTTGGCCACGGAGCTAGTTATGACAAAAGGAATAGCAGACTCGGATTCAGTGCGAGAAACTGCATTAGATTGCATTTTTCCCGGTTTTGAGACTGAAATAAAATTTTAACGAATTGTCGGAAACGCGTTCCCAAAAACAGCCAATTTTTTTTCCGCACTACAGAAACAAACAACACCTCATTTGATTCAGTTTTTGAAGACAACTTACAACTTTTGACACCCTCTCCTGTGGGTCAACGCTTTTGCAGTCAGGCAGATCCTTGTACATCATATTTGTCTTTGTTATACTTTAGATCGTTAAATGACATATCTGAGTCTGTTTTAGAAAAGTCTTTTATACACGAAACCCTAGACAAAATCCTATGCACTTCTTATCTGTTTCCTACCAGGATCCTATAGGATCCTAAAAATTCAGGATCCTATTACGATTGGTGTAGGATCCTAATAATTTCCTGACAGGATCTGAGATGT